AAAAAAAAAAAAAAAAAAAAAAAAAAAAAAAAAAAAAAAAAAAAAGGGGGGTTTTTTTTTTTTTTTTTAAAAAAAAAAAAAAAAAAAAAAAAAAAAAGCTGTAACTTGATAGTGAGGATATAAACTCACAGTGACTTCCTGTTTGGAGATTGCAGCTTTGTAGAGGGCCATTCGATCACGGAGGGGAGTGGAATCAGCAAGACCTCCATCTATAAAAACACCCATGCATAAAAGATTAGAGTGCGATAGAGAGTGGTTTATCCACTTTAACCACTTAAACATTCCAGTTGTTTTAAGTACAATTCATTTGGCCTTCTCTGGAAGGAAAACTTCTAAAATTTTGATTCCACATTATCTCTACTTTCCACAGTTTAGTTCTTGCTCAGGATAAAAACAAGGTTATAGTTTTCTTTTTCCTCAGAGTCCTTCCAGTTCACGATGAGTGCAGAAATTTGGGTTGGTCACGCCGTCACCAAACAGGAACACAAGGTCAGGAGCTGTGTGGACGGAAGCAGGATTTGGCCTTTTCCTGTTCACTTTTAAGCCATCTGCTGATCGCAGAGCACCTTCTGTCATCCCTTCTGAATTTTAGGAAGGATGTAATCAATCCAAAGGAAGCACACTTTTGTGGAGCACTGCAAGTTTCTTTTCAATTATCTGTGTTGTAATGCTTTTTTCTGCAAGGTTCAAGATTTTACTAAAATGACATCTTCCGTTAAATAACTCGATGCTTTCCTACACACTCACAAAAAAATCTAAAAGTCTGACAGATGCACTCAGACACATTAGAAGCATCTTTTTAAATCGATTGTAGACAGAATCGGCCGGCCGCACTAAAGCAGCATAATTCATAAAGGGATCTAGATAGTCACAGTTTAAACGCAATAAATATATGAAATGAAATGGGATTCAAGTGACTTTAAACAGTTTTGCAAGATTTGAGTTTTTTCAAAAGCTGCTCCTCTGTTGGGATTTTAAGACTCATATTAGAATCGTCCAATAAAAATATAAACCAGAGCAACAGCTGCAGGCATGAAAATCTATGAATACCAGAGGAAGAAGAGCAGAGATGATACGAGTAACAGAAGGTCAAATAACCGCTGGTTAGAGAAAACAGAATGCGTAACACCATCTCAGAACAAATATTAAGCAAAACCTTAAAGCAGACAGGCTACAGCAACAGAAAACCAAACCTCAGGCCACTGCTGTCAGCTAAGAACAGGAAACTGAGGCTTCAGCTCATAGACCGTCTAAAACTGGACAAAAGGTCGGTGAAACAAGTGTTGCCACATTTGTCAAACTTCTACTTCCTGGAACAGTCAAAGAACTGTGGAGACTACCATGGTGGAGATGCTTTGATTCCTCAATAAACCCATTAAATAAACTCATAGGTTCTGACTCCTGCTCTGGTGGCCTCCATTTCTGAGTGGGGCGTTTTTTGGGGTCAGAGGTCGGCAGAAGAATCCTGAACGCCTGCGTTGAGGCCTTCAAAAAATTTGTTGCATGTATTATGCATCCATCTTTTTTTAACAAGAGCATAACCAACATGTGGATGCCTGGTTACAAATCAAAGAAAATAAATAATGGGGCTTGAGGACAAGCCCTGAAGTCCTGCTCCAGTTTTACCTTTAGGCATCACATTTCAAGCTTTATTCACATTCAGTGGTGTGTCTTAAATTCATTTCGATAAACAGACATTGTGTGAGATTTTAGATATCAGATTTTCAGGATTTGCTACTACAGTCTAGAATAAAGATGCCAAATAATTTCCAAAGAAATCCAGGTACCTCCTAGCAGCTGGTCCATGTTTGAAGAGTTACTGCTTGCGTTTCGACCCGTCTGCTCTTTGGATCCCTGAAAGAACAGAAATGAAAGTGTGTTAGAGATATAATGCAACTCCAGCAAAGATAACAGCAGTCTGACGCTCACATGTTTAAGTCAGTTGAGCAAAGAGACCAGAGGCAGCTCCGTCTGTTGAAGGATGGAAAAGGAATTAGATCAGAGAAAAGCAAAGAGGAGTTGAGAACAACAAAGGTAAGGTCAAGTGTGCATGTTCGTCCAGTTCAAACCAAGCCGCTTAAATCCCATTAAGAGCTCAGAAAGACTGGGCCTGAGGCAGACGCCCCATCTGTCCAGAGAAGTAACCAAAATTACCAAAATTTGTTGTAGTTAAACACCAAAACTGGAACTTTTCTTTGCATTAATAAAAACGGAAACTTTCTAGAAAACAGATCTGGGATGGCACCAAGGTGTTCATCAATAACATTTTGATAAGCTGAGCCCTGCATGCACAGGATAATTGCTCAATAAGCAAAAGGAAATGGTTGATGTGGTGACATTGGTTAGAAGCACTCCAAGGTGCTCAAGTTGGCCTCCTTCCAGTGTTGCAGCTTAAATGTTTGATATTGCTTAAAGTCCAGATTACACAACAGGACAAACTGTCTACAAGCTTTCAGCCTGCAGGACAACCAAGCAGCTTTTCATCATCACATGTCCAACACTTGATTAAGAGATTGAAGTTAACACTCTGTCTGATCGCTATCCTACTTCTGCTCTACAAACTTGAGCTGCTCAGTGAGTTCTGACAGGCTCAGGGCGTCCGCAGGCAGAGACTTGTCAAGCTGGAAGAAACAGATGAGTTTGAGGTGAAAGTATGTCTTGCATAATGAAAGTCAGATGAGCATCAACTTGTCTGAAGTAAACTTTGACAAAAGTACACATCATTTTTCTTACATTAAACTCTCGGGGACAACTATTAGTTTCCATTTGCATCATGTTTGGCAGCTCTGCCCAGTAAAAATTTACACTGAAAGCAAAAGCAATGACAAACTGCTCCGGTTACAGAACATTAATAGGAGGTTAGACCATATGATCCTGTGGACAGACTTGATTAATGGTCAGGTCGACGAGGTCAGGGGGCCAGCTGTGGCTAGGTCTGGTAAAATCACTCTGGTTTTAAATTTTGATCAACCCCACTAAGGGGTGCGTGCAAAGAATCCATGCACACCAATTTTAATTCACAGACAACATCAGCAGGTGTTTATAAAGCCTGCTCCATCCTGGAGATGCAACTCCAATCTTTAGAACATTTTATGAATACTAAAAGAATATTTCTTTAGCATTCAACATTTTCCTTTATGTGCATTTTGAATTATCCCTAGACTGTATGAATGTAATTAATCACACCATTAATTAAAAAAAAAAGTTTTAATTACAGGGACTATTTAAGTCAGTTTAGGGAAACAAGATATTGTTTTTATCTTTTAACTTCATTAAGAGAGATACTAGAACAGGTTGGAGTCCTGCGAGCTTTAATGTTGTTGTTAAATACAGTAAAAACCAACTTTTGGAGTTGGCTTTTCAGTTAGAGGCTCCGTGTTCTTGAGATGTTCAACTTTATCAATATAAACTGCCAGCAAACTAATATTGTACTTGTATTGCACAATGACATGGTAAAGAAAAAACAAAAAAAGAATTTAAAGTGTTGCAAACGTAAAAGCAAAACATGTATAAAGAGGCACTAAAGGAGTTTTAAATGATATTGCCACATGTGGGCAGAACACAGAACTGCATCACTCTGCTTGCTTTCGTAGCCCGCACTAATACTAAAGGGTTTTTTTTTGTTTTTAGCTTTATGCCAGTCAGTTCCAAGTATCCAAACAATCCATCTTTGATATAATGCTTGTTTGCTAGGTAGGACCCATTCAACATGGACGCGCTTGACATCACATTCACCGAACAGCTTTTGACCCAGAGTAAATTCCGGTAAAATGGCTACAGGCTTAAAGATGCATCGGGGCTGAAGTACTGAGGTGTCTGTGTACTAATCAAACAATTTCTCAGTTGTAAAGGCTCAAATAAAAAAGCTATT